GACACACGTAAACATTATTAAATTATCACCTCTTTTACAGTACATTTACCTGCATGTCGTTACTTAGATATGAGAGTTTCAACCGCACAAGGACCAAATAAAGCTATTAAGATTATGTGAATATAACCTTTTAATCCCTCAAAGGATCAGCAGAGGTTCACAAATCCAACTTAACATTAACTTTTTACCAATTAGTGGAGGTTTTATATATGTGGTACTTTATATATTGTCATAAACCGGGCACAATTCCAAAGTGAGAAATTAAAAAAATATAAAATTGCCCATTAATACTTTATTCGACCCAGAAACAGAACTATTAGACTTAAATTGACATTTTCTTTAAAATAGTATGATTATGTGGTATGTAACACCGATATTGTGCGATCATTTAGCCCACAAATTGGTCCGCTTCCAACGGATTTTGGACAAGTCTACCAGAGCTAACGCGAGTGGTTTCCACCAATTACGGCCCTCGAATATCGACATTGCGTTGTGTGGCTTACAGCTGCAGTGAAGCTTAATATCGGAGGCCAGTTCCTAATAGCCACACAAAGCCTGCAGTGCCGTAAAGTAGAATTGTGTTTGATATTGTTGCAACTTTAATTAAACTTGCTGGAATAAGGCCTCCGGTATTATCGGGGCTCTGTGAAATCTGTGGATACTATCTTTACATGTAAAATGTGTGTTGGGAAGCAGAGCAGTTGATCCTCTATTAGGTACATGGAACTTATAATATAAATGGTGAAAAGTGGATGTTGCATTGTATGCAACTATGCCTGAATTTTCGGGGAATAAAATTTTATATATTCGTATGTTGTGTGTGCACGAATTAACTATAGATATATGAGTGTTCTAGCGTAGAGTAGTGTACTATTCCGGTGTCATTAATTTTAATAGCTAAGTTTATAGTAGCCAGAAAAAAATCACAACTAATTTCTGCCATCGCGCATTCCCGTGGTATGAAAAGTAGCCTTTGTGTTATTCCAGACCATACTTTATCCTTGTTACAAATATCACCAATCACCCTTAACAAATAAACAAAGGGACAAACTTTCGCATAGCAAGATAAGAATGAAAAAAAAAATATGTAGGTACCAATAATTTTTATTCAGAAACTAGCTACTACCGCGCGGTTTCACACGCTCTGCTCAGCTCCTATTGGTCGTAGCGTGATGTTTTATAACCTATAGCCATCCTCGATAAATGCGCTATCCAACACAAAAATAATTATTCAAATCAGACTTGTAGCTACGGAGATTAGCGCGTTCAAACAAAAAAAAACTCTTCCGCTTTTTATAATAATACGTATAAGATAATAATGATTAAAATATAGCAAAGAAGGTCTCATAAACTTAGATCCCTGTACCAGGATAAACTAGACCTGCAGCGGGCAGTAAGCACCGTACATTAAACAGTGTTTTATCATTCCGGCGTACTTGCAATTTTATAGCATTGGCCTCTCCAGACCAAACATAAAATGTGTAAAACCTCTTAACGGGTGGAATACGTGCATTGGTGCATGAATAACGCGAACCACTCTAAACTATTTTTCTTGATTTATTCTAGAGAGAGATTGTACGAGGCTGATAAATAATAAATAATGCTTCGTTTATTTATTTAGACTTTCTGTAATTTAAATGGAGTTCTAGACTGTGTCTGGGTCGCGGAGGACCTTACGGGTAACCGGGGCTTCGACTGGACGTGCAGGAGAAGGAACGGGGTGGTTTTTAGTCAGTAAGAGTCTGACACTCCCTTCCGCCTCACCCAGGCGGGAGCAGCGATTCGATGATTTTCCCCCCTTAAAAAAAAGACTGTGTCTGAGGGTTAGTTAAGTCTTTTTCTAAAAACGTTTTGAAGTAGTTTCATGTTGATTGCATGGTCTGCAACGTATCAAAACAGTTCTTCTACAAATACCAATTTTCACACACATACGTACACACTTCATCCGGAAATTGCGGATCATACAAATATTTGTTTTGTGCGGGAATTGAACACGTGACACTAACCCCTCACTCGATTATATCATTTCGAAGTGTTTACATTTTTTAATGTGTGTTCTAATGGGTTTGGGGAATTTTCCTATTTGAGAATGACACGTAATGCCACCTAAATAATGGTACACATTATGAAATGTAATCAGTAATTTCATATCGATTAAACAGACCAATATACATCATAGAAATAATCAAGATTTAACTAAAAACTAGCCCTATGAAGCTTTGTGAAAGAAAATACGATTTTTTCTCTAACATATTTCTACCTGAAATTACGAGTTGATATATTTCGTAGATGTTTTCAACTATAAACGTCGGTCCCATCAATAAATAATGTCGATAAAGGCGAAGTATTTGAGCTCAACACGAGTAAACGTGTCAAATATTATTTCAGTGATCCAGACCAGGACACTATGAAGTTATTTTTAAACAAATTGATGTTTATTTTAGTATATGTTTTATATAAAATTCCTCAGTTCTGAGGGTTTTTGATTTCGTTAAGTGTATTGGGATAATATAGGCTGACAGTTCTGTTGTTAAAAGTACGTATACTGAAAACTTTCATTTATTTCATTTCTATTTGAATATAGGTTAGTGGCGATTGTTACCTATTTAGTTTAATGGGAAAATGATTCATCATTTCTGAAACAGAATCTGCTATTATAATCGACAAAGACATTTTGTTTGAAACTCCCCTATATTTGACACTAAACAGGTTTAAACCACCAAGGCATTGTTTGGAGTAAAAATAAGTACCAAACTATTAAAGTATCTTTTCACTGCAAAACACAAACGCTTAGTACTCAGCCCTTTCTACAACAAATTAGCTCTAGACAGCTTTAGTTTAAGGAATAAATCTAGCCGATTGTCCGTAACGACTGCGCATTGTGCTGGAGACTCGTGGAGGTATATGAAGTTAGCTAGAATGGTACATAACGATTCATTGTCAGTTTATTCATTCGCTCTTCATTGTAGTTTCATCTTAATGTCTTATTTATTTGAATTCATTTATGGATTGTTATAATAAACGATTAACGCATATGGACTGGTCTATAGACTCGTGTAGGAATGAACTTACGTTTATAGGAATCTATTTTTTAGGATTAGTATTAAGAATATCAATTGAATTATATGATGAAGCAAGTATTTATTTATAGGCATTATATTCCAACATGACAAAATTTATATGATGACTTTTACATGTGGATAATACGTATATCAATGAATAGGAAACTACTAAACAAAAGATGTTTAGATTGAAGAATGTTATGAATAATTATTTTATAAAAACTACATTAAAAATACCGACTTCAACCTCATTTTAAAGTCGGTTAATTAATATACTAAATGTAACAAACATTTTTCTGAAAACCACATCAAAATCGGTTCACCCAATCAAGAGGTAATCGCGAACAAACATACATACAGGTCAAACTGAGAACCTAATATTTTATCTTTTTGAAATCGGTTAAAAAGAAAGAGGTTATAAGACGATGTTGTTAACATCCAGGTTGCCAGAAGCCCTGACGGAAGATACTACAGCGAAATGCTATTACGACAAGATCGTGGAAGCTATAAAAGAAAGAGTGAAAGAAGTACGAACCTTTACCCTTTATACTTCTTACAGGCTGCAAACTAACAAACATTAAAAATAAATTACTTTAAGATAAGAATATATACTAACAGCAAGAATAAAATGTATTCCTAATTACCTGTAAGAAATAAATGGCTTTTTTACTTTATTATATTTATTTATTTAGATACGACGGTGTCTGGTTTATAGTAATTTGGGTTAAGGGCAAGGAGAAGACCATAGAAAGCATAATTAAACTGTCAAACACCAAGCGGTCACCGGTAACCGCAACCTATTGTTCTATAATTGTGTCTATAATGACGGTACTTGACGAGTTAATATGAAAAGTTCCGTTAATATTACATTACATAGAGTTGACACCCCTGAAATCGAACTTATTGATTTTGATGATTATAACAACTGATATTTTTATCTGTGTTTATTTTTACTACCTTGTTAGCCTAGGGATCGCAAGTGCTACTGCTGGGCAAGGATTCTCGGGTTCGATTCCCGGGTCAGGTAAAGTTTGGGTTTTAAAAAATTCTCAGAAGTAGTCGAAACAGTAGCGGAGTCTGGAATTGTGCCCGGTATATGGCAATAGGCTCACCCCCTATTACTTGGGATTCATAACATAAAAAGTGAAAAGTGGGTGTTACATTGTACAGAGGCAGTGCCATAATGTGCACCCATGCCTACCCCTTCGAGGATCAAGGCGTGATGTTATGTATGTTGTTTTTATAGCACTACCTGTGTTTTTATTACAAAGTTTGATTTTTTTACTCTGTTAGTGATTAGTTCGTTTACATTTTATTTTGTTTAGCTCAAAATACGAGGATCGTAAAATGTTCGATGGGTCTAGAGTTCAGAATGTAAACTAATTAGATGTAGATACACAAACTATTTTTACGTCAATATAGATAAAGTATAGCAATTTAGTTTTAGCATTTGGTTTTCTTTTCGAGTTAATGCAACGAAGATTAAGTTGATGCTTCTACAGAATTTAATAATAGCTCTTTTCGTTCTTGGAGAAAATAATGGGATGGAAAATGCTGGTATGGTAAACAGGCTTTGACTATTCATGCATGGTACATTTAAAAAAAAAGTAGAATAATGCTGTTTTTTGTAATGGTTTATAATGCAGGACTGTGTAATAGTGATCATGTTTGTAACGACAGTTAATTAATTTCTCATCTTTTATAATTTAAACTGTGATTTGAAACATTAATTTACGATTAATCTAAATTGTTTCTAATGACTAAATATATTTGTGGTTTCATTAGGTACAAGATTTTACAACTTCGTAAATTAATATATTTGAAAAATGTTATTATCTATGCAAGTTACGATATTTAAAATACAAATATTAAAGTTTTTAAAGTTCTCTATGCCTAGCATTTCATGCAAGTCTTTTATAAATATAAAAAAATACTTACTTGATAAATAATAGAATGCCAGTCTTCTCAATTTGTCTGAAGATTCCCTTCCATGAGGCCAGCATGCAGTACTGTTGCTTCGTGGTGAGAGGCGATCGAGGGTCTGCTGGCGGTGGTGGACGGTCCAAAGCATCATGGCTATTGAACTCTGAAGACGCCAACTTACTTAGTTCACAACCCATGATAAAAGAACTTAATTATTTAAAAACACAAAATAAAAAACAAATGACACTTTTTTAACAGCTCAACACAATTTTTTTCACAGACGCAAACTTTTATTTTTTTCTGTATCTATTTTATTTATTAGTTGCCAGTCACTTTTATAAATAGAGTTTCTATTATTTTATTTGCCGGACTTTTTGGTCACTTTTTTATTTCTTTTTATTTTTTTAGTCTTTAGGTTTTCGCTATGTATTTTTATAGCAATTTTTTTAATGGCTTTTACAATTTTTTTGACACTTTATATTTTTTTTTATTGTAACTGCAACTGTTTTACATAGTGATATCGTACAGGTTCGAAGTTGGACTGTTTGTCGGTTTGTTTCAACGTAATTGATATATCACGCGGTTAGTATTAACGAGTCTCAGTTAAGACTACCGGATACCAACACCGGTGCGAGTATTCAAAATCGCTCTTCGAAATCAAATGCAATAAATTTGTTTGTTCGTTCTAAAATTAGAAAAAAATATCGTGCGTCTGAGCATAGTAGGTACCTACTCGATGGCGTGTATAGTTGGGGGAATTATATTTTGTGTGTAGATATTATATCGAAGAAAAGTTTAATTGGAATTTCACTCTGCCTTTCTTAATTGTATTTTGATTTATTTTAGTAATTGTGCTTAAGATGTAAATATTAACGGAAAATTAAATATAGGTAGTTATTTTAGTTAAACAGCATAATAATAACATACTACATCAAAAATAGATTCACGATTTAAAACACAAATAAATAAATAGTTACTCAAAATATGAAACGTTGCGCGCAAATTAAATATCAATTAGTACCACTAAAACTCATTATATCAATAATAACGACGTTTAGTTATTTTCCACAACACAATAAACTAAAATATAAAAATAAATAACACGTTTATTTTCACTAGTTTAACGTCGGCAGTACATTTCACAACTGAGGCAAAATGACAAGTTTTAGTGATGGGGAAAAGGTCACTTTCTGTCATAATAAATGACTATTAAATACTAGCTTCTACCAATGGCTTTGTCTGTGGTGACAAAAAATAAACTTCGCGTTTTTAGGGAATATAATCTATATTTTTGCAATTGAATTTAGATCTGAGGTCTTAGTACTAGTAGTACTCAGTACGTTTAAGGTAATCGAATCGTGACCGCGTTTGTGACTCTGATTGGCCAGCTCCAATGAACCAACCAATTACAGGGCCGAACGCGGTCTCGTTTCTATTACTTGTTACGTAAAATAAATTCTCAGTAAGGTCTCTAGTTTTGTTTTTGTGTCAAAGAGCAATAAATTGATATAGAGTTATAAAATTTCGCAATTTAAATTTTAGTAGGATAGATCAATAGAAAAACTAATATAAGGTTAATAATATTTCGTATCTCTTATTTATTGAATGTTTTTCCTAGTTCATTCCGTAATTATATTGCATATCAAAATAAGTTTCCTAATTTCCTTGATTTAATTTACAGTTTTTAAATGTTTATTATTTGATAGCAAAATTGGAACTAGTAATTGATTTACTTAATTTTCATAATTTGAAAGTGAAACGATCAAACTACACTGAATACATTACATCTTATATTATCATCTGCCATAGCAGAAAAAAATATTCCTAGAACATTTTATCCACGAAAAGTTCCCCTTCAATAATCCGCGGTAACAATCCATAAAAAATATATGTAGGTAAGTAGAACCTTCCTAATTCAAGGACCTACTAACATAGTTTTTATCTTCCAGTCAAGGACTTCGTCGGCCCCTCAAATCCAATTTGAAGATGAAAGTAACGGAAACGACACGTGTACGAGACGACAACGATTTTGGGGCGAATTGCCTCATGTAATGCTCAAGTGTGACACTATTATCCGGTTTCCGTGACGGTTTTTTTCCCGTTAACGTGGAATGTAATACCAACAAACCATGGAATTGAATTTTTTACATTTTTTCCTTCTTTTTTTGAAAATTATTTCAATTTAGGTTATGTTATTGTAATTTTTTTGCTTGATATCGTTTTGTTGGTTAACGGAGGTGAATAATGGATTCATTGTTAATTTCGAACCTTCCGTATGATTTTGTTTTTTATTTTATCAGTTGTTTGTTACGTAAAATCATGATGATTTTTTTTAGATGCCGCGGATTTATTTTATATTAAAACTTTTGTGAGACATACTAAATTAATCTAGACTCATATTCGTGAGTGTTAAATGCTGCTTATGAATATGAGCCTCTAGCATGGCTAAAAACTAGTCGAGGTCTTCGTTTAACAGTTACGTGAATAAGTCGAAAACATAATAATTAAGCGATAAATTATAATGATTTTTTAACTGAAAGTTTCCTAACAAATGTGAAAATATTACGCCGATTGATAAGTTTCAAAATAAACATTACATTGATACCGTCCAAATATGCACCATAAAGCTGCATTGCAATAGAACCTCAATAAACCTATCGAAAACCACACTATCATCATGCAAATCGTAGATTAACCGGAACGGTACACAAAATTTGAATATCCAATATCCGGAACCAATATCAAAAATGTATTCATGTCAAAATTATGAATAAATAACACATTAAAATAACAGTTCGTGGTTAATATCGATAAAAGAATTGCCCATCACTATTCAAACGAGTGACCCACACAATAGTGTCTCAGCAATTGTATGATAATGTTAGGACCATAAACGTAATTATGGTAACTGGACGTCACTATTTTTACTTGATTAATTAGTTGAGTAATATCGACCTTATGACTTTGTGATAAGGGTGATGTGTTGTTGATGTTATCGCATGATTTGTCATGAATGGTTCTTATATGGTAGGGTGACGATATTTTGTAGTGTAGGTTATGTATTTCTTTTGTTTTATTGATGAATGCAAGCGATAAGTCATTGTCTTTTTCGGTGCACTATATTATGTGTCTGTATGGTGGTGTATGGGCCTATGGTGTGTACCAAATAGGTAAGGTTTGAAGGTACTTCTGTGCTAATGTGGTCTTTAGGCTTTCAGTGCTAAGTGCTATTTTAGCTTATGTTTATTATGACCTGGTTTAATTGTGTTTGTTCACTTCGTGTTGTCTAGGATGTTACGTGCCAAGATATTATGGAAGTATTTCAGAAGCATCTTATTCTTTGTCCTCTCTAATTCATATTTCAAATTCCTGTTTAATTTGAAATCAACATCAGTTCTATTACATCAACGTCTCTATGCTTTTTCAAGTACTTACCATATTACACAAACCATTCTTTTTTGAAGTTGGAAAATAATTAAGCGTCCAATCAAATAAATTCCAGTCTCTATTATCAACAAAGGCAATTAAAAACAAATAAATTTTCAAATAATATTTATTTTTAAATCAAATTAACACTTAAATACATCGACCTGATACATTTTATTACATATAACACATTCATTGCTTATTTCAAAATTTCATTTATAAATACAACTTATTTACTTATGTAAGTACTTATTACAGTAATAACGATCGTACATACAATACTTAATAATGGGTTTATAACAATTTATAGGTAACTTAGAAGAATTTTATTTATTTGTTGCCAATTTATTTCAACTTGGTGACTTTTACAAAGCATTTAAATATCGCGGGTTACTCACGTGAATATACCGAGGAAAGCTCTACTAGTTTCAAACTAGAGAAGGGTTCTTCCTCATAAACAGGGTGTGCAGTCGCGAAGATGTCGCACAGCTATCTCGTACTATCATGAGGATGCACCCCTCTGTGGTTCGAAACTAGTAGAGCTTTTCTCAGTATATTCACGTGAGTAACCCACGATTTTTAGTTAATTTAGTATGTCTCACGATAGTTTTTATAAGGCGTGTTTTCTAGGCTTGCCATAGACCGAGCATAATTCTAGACTTACTCTATCACTTGCCAACCTCAGCAGAGGGTTAGCAGTGACCTTTGTCTGTGAAATAATAATAGAAGTTCGATTACTGAGTGCTCGGTTGGGGCGGTGGCTGGGCATTTGGCTGCCATGCCACACGTAGCGGGTTACACAAATTGTTGTTTGGGTCTGGGTGTCATGTGCATGTGAAAAATGTTTATTAAATGTTTATTTGTAAACACACCTGTGTCGTGAGACAGGAGAAAATTCTAGTATGGGGCAACGATTTTTTTTTATAAAAAAGAGTTTTTTTTATAACCGCATCAGCAATATTGAACCTAACTCGTGGTCACTTTAGGTGTTAAAGAAAAGATACGCTGCTTATGGTACAAAACACCGCTTTTTACTCGACTTGACTTGATGCTCTACAACTTACAACTGTTATAATAACATAAAATAAACATTTTATTCCTTACTTTTATATAAATAAAACTTATTTTTGACTGTCACCTGTCGGAATTTTTCGGAAGGATTCCATTTACATATACATATACAGGATATTATTATGTAAATAAAAAATACTGACCATTTAGGCAAGTCTATACTGACATTACAAGTTTGTATAGAGATTCTTTCTTAACCGTACCGGATAGTAACTATGGTATATAAATACACATATATAATATACGATTAACTTTGTTTATATTGTGCGAAAATTAAACAACTACAACCGTGGGCGGATTCTGATATAAATCTTAGTGTGTTTGCATGAAATGGATTGTTTTCTTTCAAACAAGATAATATTGAGAGAAGTGAGAAAATGTTACAGACTATAGTGTGTATTTACGTGTTTGTTTTAAGAGTGTATCGCGCGATTTTTAGTTGCGCGATAGTTGCTCGTCTAAATTATTAGTTAGGAAAGCAGAGGTATCAATTTTTTTACAAAGTCGTCCCATTGCAGGTCAAAGACCTGTCTACCCTCCTTCCATTCGTCTCTTCTTATAGCTTTCTGTGGCCAATCCTTTTCATAGGTAGCAAATTATTAAAAAAAATGTTAGATACTTTTTAGACAAAAACAACGCAAACTGAGAATATTCGGCATAAATCTAAACTCCGTAGTATGAATCTGAAATCACGATTAACATAACATCACGTGTCTGATCGCTAAACGGATATGCAGAGGTCCACATTTTAATGTAGCACTGTAACTTTTATTAGTAACGATATGAGCCCAAGTATACCCTATATCCCTTTCCACATACATACATAACATCACGCTTTTTGTATGCAGAGGTTAATGCCATTGTACAATTTAACACCCACTTTTCATTTTTTTTATGGCATACGCCTGTAAAAGAGCAGACGGATCACCTGATGATAAGCAATCGGCGTCGCCCATGGACACCTGGAACACCAGAGGCGTTACAAGTGGGTTACCGGCCTTTTGGGGATTAGAAGGTTGAGGATCGTTGGGGATTCAGGAATTGGGGAGATTAGGGAAGGGGAGGGTGATTGGGCCTCTGGTAACACGACGAAACACAAAGCAAGCGTTGCTTCACTTCATGTAGGTAATTTAAAGTTTAATCATTTAATAAAGTCGCGATACAAATCCTTTTAAATATGAACACAAAATTCGTTAAAACAGTCTATTTCTTTCAATAACACACACTAACACAAGACGCAAGTAATTACATATTTTTTCAAAGTTATTTATGAACCAAACTCTTGACAAATCAATTCAGTGGTGCGACTTAAACGTTGCGCGAGGGCATCGCAACGCGACCTGAGCTAGGGTCTAGACGGACCACCGAATTGTGGTCGTATCGCGACTGTATTGATTTCATAAGCAATATTTTTTATTGTTTTCGATTTAAATATTGTATATTTCTTTGACAAACTCCATAACGTCATACCTAGCTATCGCAATGGAGAAACCTGTCGTGATAGTTTAGGTAAGGTTTTATATAAATAAATAAATACATTTTCGAATAGGTAGGGCAGAGGCGCATACATATATAAACGTATCTTTATAATGTAACACCCACTTTTCCTCAGCTTCATCAGCTTGGTTACGTGGGGGTGTTATGTTCGGGTATCGAACCCGAAACCCAAGTAGAGTAGGCTAGCAGGGTTTGATGTCGTTGATGCATTAAGAACACACATTTATGCTTCTAGACCTTAGATGAGTTTCTTACAATGAAAGTTTAATGTGTGCAATAAATACTAAGTGTGCAATATTAAGTGTGTTGTTATTCAGTAAGTCACTGTGTCAAAATGATAAATATGTGAATAAAGAAAAGTAATAATAATATGTTAGGAGGAATAATTATGTTATCCTAGTTGTAAGCATTTTTTTTTGTAATTGGTTTTATTGGATTAATAAGATTTTAACTTTATTATATTGTAAAACTTAACTTTGCATGCCGAAAACAGTAGGCGATGTATGTGGGACTATTTTTTTATAATTATTACTACCTGTAATTACCATACTTCGTGCAAATAAACGTTCTTATTCTTATTCTTATTCTTAGACACTCTTTTCCAAAGTTTCAGTCGATAGATCGCCGATTCTACTTTAATGCATCGCTTTGAAAAGTACTTGCTCTCATCAATACTGTTCAGACAGACGGTTCATCTTTATATATATAAATATATTCCACTCAATTCTGTGCCTTATAATATTTATTTTGGCGAGCGTATGTATAAGTATTCAGCCAAAATAGACTCAGGCGCAGGTATTTTTGCGTATCGCGGCGCGTGCTTTATTCGACGTCATAATTAAAATAAAATGTAGCTTAATAAATAAAAAAAATAGTATGTCTCACGATAGTTATTATAAAAACAAAACGTAGCTTGTTTTTTTTAGAAATAATTAATAATGATTTTGAATAGATAGAGCTGAGAATAAGGGAAAGAGAGAGAATCTCTTTAGTACTTCATACTGCTGTAGACAATGTCAGCCTGTTTTGTTTTTAATAAAGTCTGAGTACTGAGATCTTATGAACAGTTTCACGTAAGACTTATAGATTACCTAGATTCATTTTCAAATGAAGACCGACTCGAAATTTCGACGCAGAAACTAACATTTCTCCAAGACGTATAGTTATACAAGTAAATAATTAATCAAAATTCACTGCCTCGTTGACCGAGTGGTCGCAAGTGCGACCGCTGGGCAAGGGGTCTCGGGTTCGATTCCCGAGTCGGGCAAAGTTTGAAAACTGGGTTACTGGGTTTGAAAAAATTCTCAGTAGTAGCACGGAGTCTGGAATTGTGCCCGGTATATGGCAATAGGCTCACCCCTATTAGGTACATGGGACTCATAACATAAATAGTGAAAAGTGGGTGTTACATTGTACAGTGGCATAATGTATACCTCTGCCTACCCCTTCAGGGATAAAAGGCGTGATGTTATATATGTAATTAATCAAAATTCATTAAACACCAATCTTGATCCAAAATCCATAGTTTTGTTACAAATGAAATCTTTGTTTATTACCAATACTAATGGAATTAATCAAGTCTGAAGTAAAATTGCCTAAGCGAATTATATATGGCGTATTAGCTTCCAATATCGAATAGAACTAGTGGAGGATCAATTAATGGAAGGGAGTTCCAATATAATTTAATATAGCCTAATTATATTACGTAATTAGGACTTGTAATTGGGTCTAATTTGTATTGTTAGTATTAATATTGGAGCTAGATTTATGCTGAAATTCTGGCCTGTTAGGTTTGTCAAAGTATAGTTTATTGCTGTGTAATGTATTGTATGGGATTGTAGTGATGATGCCGTGATTGGTTATGTGTTTTTGCTAAAAAATTGAAATATGTGAGTAATTTACTCCCTCCTCCCCTAATCTCTCCAATCCCCGGATCCAGGAATAAACAATTCTCAATATTTAAACCCCAAAAGGCCGGCAACGGACTTGTACCTGGACACTCGCAACACTATGGTGCGTTTCCGGCCTTTTAAAAAGGAATACGTTATTTTCTTGAAGGTTTGAAGTTTTGCCATATAACGGGCACAATTCCAGACTCCGTGCTACTACTGAGAATTTTTTAAAACCCAGTCATACTTTGCCCGACCCGGGAATCAAACCCGAGACCCCTTGCCTGACAGTCGCACTTGCGACCACTCGGCCAACAAGGCAGAGTATGAATAACAATACGTCATGTATACAAACAAGGACAATTTATCCCTAATTAGTGTTTTTGTCGTAAGCTGTGTATCTTTTACCGCAGTGAAATGATTTTCCTTAATACAACAGATGGTAAAAGAACATTCATATTATTTGTTTCTCTTTAAATGAATTAAAATATGTTGCTGAGTTATATATATTTGATTTAAGAGAAATTTCAAACATGTTTGTATATGTATTGTAACTTTCGTGAGACATACTAAATAAATTATTATGTTTTCGGCTTACTCACGTAGTAATTCGACGAGGAACTCGACTAGTTTCAAGCCATGCTAGAGGCTCATATTCATGAGCAGCATTTCGCGGCCCGCGACGCGGCGACTGTCGCCGTAGCAGCGCAGCAGCTAGTCGAGTTCCTCGTCGAATTACTACGTGAGTGAGCCGAAAACATAATAATTTATGTTTGTATATTTTATTAGTTCTTTAAAGTCAGTTGAAGTTGTACTTTCTAAGATTATTCAGATACTACTGACAATCGGTCGTCAACCACAAGGAAAACATCGTGAGAAAACCTGGGCTTATAATTTCTAATTATAAGTTTGAAATCGCCAACCCATATTGAGCAAGCGTGGTGATTAATGCTCACGGAGAACCGTGTGAGGAGAGTCTTTTGGTTAGCAGTGGGCATTATAGGCTGTTGATGTGTGATGTGTGTGAAGTTGTAAGTCGATACAGTACCTATATCAGTTTTATAACAAGCAAATGTTATCAGTTTACAAGTCACTTGAAATAAAATAAATAATTCTTGAATACTTACATTTTCCAATAGATTAAATACAACGTTAAAATAAGAACAAAGAAGTCCTGTCGAAACCAGATTTTAACATTAATATTTTATAATAATTGTGACAGCTAGGCAATAGAGGCAGCTAGACATTGACATCGATATTTTCGAGAATAAATATGAATATTATTATCCAAGTTGAAATAAATTGACATTGGACATTTCTATTGAAGAATACAAAGGAAAGATTTCATGTAGGTATATAGGTACTCTTTTAGTACAGAAATTGACTACCAACACGAATTAATGCCAAACTTTTAACATTCCAACGTAAATATTCTAATTTTTTATATAAAAGATGGCGACTTATACATCCCAGAGAATTATAAGTTATACATTTATATGAAATTTATATAAATCAATATTTCAAGTACTACACGGTACTTATATAAGATAGTTTCAGAAAATATATTTCATAGAGTGGTATTTATATATGTATGTTGTTCAGTTTTTGTGCTTATAAGACATATTCTATAGAGATTATAGTACTTAGTAAAAAAATATTAAAAGTTGATAGTACACTAGTAGATAGTACTGTTCTGTGTTTCATTTCCACCTTGGAAAGTTTAAATATAGTTATAAATAATTAAAACAAAATCTTCCGTGTAATTAATATTTCGGTTAAATTATAACAATGTTTAAATTCTTTAACTTAATACTTAGTCTAAGTATTACAACATTCACGCACGGAAGACGCAATTTAACAATAATTATGCCGAATTATTAATTGTTTAAACAATAAAACATACGACGGTTGGTCCAGCCAACAATAAGGACGTCAAGAAGAATATCATTACAATAAATAATTATTTAACATTAAATTAGTACTAACAAGCGTTTTGCGACATTTAAAAAAGTTATTTGGTTTAAAATTCCTTAATTTAACACACATATTTTTTTACTATTTTATCTACATTTTGTTCCTATTATTAAAATTATGTTGCTATTCGAAAAAGCGCTCTAATACTCAGTTATGTTCCCGTACTGAACAGTTAGTCCCAATTTACCAGTCTAAATACAGACGAGCGAAAAAGAACAGTGACAACTATACACAATTATAGAATTATTCACATTATACACATAATTCACGATGCATTTTGTAAACGTCTGTACACTTCACTTTTTAAAATCTCGTTTTAAATTGACATTAATTTTTTATAGTGGCGTTTTAGCTTCGAATTTGGAATGGTAGTTCCATTTTAAAATTTTCAACATGGCGGCTGCAAGTCGTTTTTTTGTTATTTTCGTTAAAAACTGACTCGTGATTTTCTTTCAAGTGCTCAGTTCTCTTTTGTTTTTTTATTTTGTTTCTGTACATAGCTGAGCTCACGTAGGATGCTTGCCAGCAGCCTCATATCCTTCTATGAGTGTTTCTAGTATAAACTTGATGGTAATTTTGTAGATATTCTCAACGTTGGGAGTGTAACGGTCGCCCAAGGTCGACTCCACGGCAGCTAGGAACGGTGCTTCAATTTTCTGTGGAAGAAAAAGCTGCCGTTAATATGTAAAAAAGTATTATATTACGTCAATAAAAATACGTGTGTTGTTGAGATACGGAACAATTCGATATCAGTGTCTATATTTACACCTCAAAAAGTGCTGTAGCATTCAATTTCGTTTTGTGTCAAATATCAAGCTCGTCAGCTTCGCCGCCGGTGCCGCCAAGGATCTAAAATATCCCACGAGTAATTTTACACCTGCACCCTTCCCGTCCTTTGACATAAAACACAAATATTTCAGAAACAATGGTCCTTCGCACTTTTTCGACCGAAATATTTTCCCCTTTTTTGTACCGAAAATTCTTTTAGCCCAAAAGTATTTGTTTAATAGGAAAAATGTTTAAGCCTAGCCAATATTGACAACCCTAAATAGATTCATGGATGATTTAAGCCCGGATAAGTCAAAGGGTTGAAAGGCTTTTATAATAGGAAATGAGGGGTTCGGGGTCAGTTTCCGTTTGACAGATATAGTTGGATCTATCAAAGAGTAAGAAGGCGCAGAAAACTTATTGGTCGTGTTTAAACCTGCGTTTTTTTTCTAAGAAGAGTGGAATAACTACTTTAACAATTCGGAATCGCAATAGTTTAGAATCCTTAACACATTATAAACAAAAATATAGGTGTATGTATGTGCTATTGTATCGCTCCAGTTACACTCATTGTCTTCATATTTATTCAAAATTGAATAGCGTTTTAGGTTTCAACATCGTTATAGTTGGCAAGAATAGAATCTAACGAAGAAGACTAGGTAAAACCACATAAATCTAGAATCCATATAAATAAAAATGAATTTCCGTTTGTAAGTGTCGCTAAAACTCGAGAACGGCTGGACTGATTTGGCTAATTTTGGTGTTGAAATCTTCGTCCAAGGAAGGTTTATAGATGAGAAAAAAAATAGGCGGTACGAGATTTGCCCGGTCACCTAGTAGTCAATATATTTTGCAATATACAAAATTACTGATTACATAATAAACATTATGAAAATTGATACTTCTGTACTTCCGCCACATTTGGCTTCCACTTTCATTTTGCGATACTGATACTTTACTCGAAGGTCGTCAGAAATAGAGTAATTTAAAGTTTTTGGGTAGACTTTAATCCGCGGCCGGGTGCGGTTAGCATATCATTGAAATTGGATGAAGGAATGTTATAGGGGGTGGCGTTTTATGACCACATTCGAAAGGTCAATCTCGCTAGAGAGGCGAGTCTGACGTTTTGACGTCCACATTTCGTAGTTGATAGCACTGAAATGCGTCATCTGAGTTTGGAGTCTTATTTTGTTGTAGATACGTACTTTTCTTAAAAATTGAGCTTCAATTTTGAAAATGGAATAAAAGAAAAAACACATTTCGTCAGCATCAGGCACAAAATGTTGGAAAAAAACAAAGTACTTAGCTTTGTATAAAGAATTTCTCATCGCGAATATTTTTTAAACAACAAAGAGCTGCTTACATTAACCCCGCTTAAATGAAACCATAACAAACTCAATTACGAGAGAATTAAATCAATTAATTATAGCAAAAAATTTGAAACTTTCATTATTGAAACTGGCCACTGAATTGTACAGCTTGACAGTTGAAAATAAATGAAATCGAGTTCACAAATAAAATTATTCGTGAAATCCGAATTTCAATTTATAGGTATCGGAATTTGATGAATGATACTCTCTGGGGTTAATAATACCTACTACTTTGAAGGGTTACATACCTGGTTCTAGATTAAATATGAATCTATCGCTGTTGTGGAGAAGCTGATTATTAATGAATATTAAGCTCCTTTGTGACATGATACTGGGCGAGAAACTTATCTCTATGTATATTTATAACTCGGGTCTTTAGGTCGAAATAAGTAGTTGGAAATCCAATTGTTGGTATAGAACGAAGTGCGTGAGGTTGCCATCTGGCGCATAATATGTAAAACTTTCTTTTAGATAAGATGTCCACTCAATACTTGTACCGGCTTCACCGTTGATTCTTATTTCCATTATTTAAATATAGTAATATTCGTGCAATACGGCCTTTTTATTCATAACTCTTCAGGTTATGGGCCCAGTGAGTGAAAAACAATCAATTTTGTGATCAATAAACTTGATTTGCAGTGATTTAAATACGAACTGATACGACATAATTAAAGTTATAAACGCGCCGATACCGTGTGTGGCGCGTTAGCGTAACGCGGACTTAGAAGTTACGTTTCCTTTGTTATGAACTAATCAGTGAATATTGACTAACGTGTTTTTTTGTTTACGTTTTAAAGTTGAAGAAACTTTATTAACTGTGCAACATGACTGCAACTATTAAAATTGATCAACTTACGGGTGATAATTATGACACATGGAAGATACATATGCGAGCTATTCTGAAGAAGAATGATTTATGGGAATATGTATCGGGAACATTACCGAAACCACCGCTCGGCGACCCCAAGTATGCAGAATGGATTAAAATGGATGGCAAAGCGGAGTCCGATATTTTGTTGGCGGTCAGTTCAAGTGAATTAAGTGCGTTGGATGGTTTAGAAAGTTCAAAAGCTATATGGGATAAGTTGAGATCCATGTATCAGTCAAGCGGGCCGGCTAGAAAAGCATCTTTGTTGAAGAAACTGGTATTGACACGAATGCAAGAAGATGACGACTTGAAAAAGCACATTGCTGAATTTTTTGATGCCGTCAAGAAGCTCAAAGAAATTGGGTTGATAGTTATAGACGAACTCCTGGCCATATTATTGTTATATAGTTTACCAGATTCGTTTGCTATGTTTCGAACAGCAATAGAATCACGCGATGATTTACCCTCGTGTGAAATATTAAAAGTGAAGATCATCGAGGATTATGAAGGTCGTAAATCCAAAACAACGGTTGACCAGGGGGCAATGTTCGTCAAACGTATCAACAAAAATACAAATTTGAAGAAGATTAATGAGAATCATTTACGTAAAAATCACGTCGAGTGTTATCGTTGTGGTCGGCGTGGACATATAGCGAGAGAGTGCAAAGCCAAATTTCCCAGTAAACATAAGCAGAGTGCCCAACAATTGGATAGTGGTTGTGATGAGAGAAAGACGACCATGTTATTGAGTACCACTGAAGAGGTGATGCTTGGTGAGCAGACAAATCCTATCTGGTGCATTGACAGTGGATGCACGGGTCATATGTGTAATGAGAAGGTTATGATCAAGGATTTTACACAGTTGAACTCTGAGCTTAACTTGGCGAACAGTAAGAAAACGCAAATCAGCGGAACTGGTAAAGTAAACATTACAGTAGATACGGGCAGTGAAGAACGCCAAATTGAATTACAAAAGGTATTCTACGTATCAGACCTACGAACCAATTTATTATCAGTGGCGAAAATGACAGATCGCGGATTCGAAGTACGCTTTACGAAAAATGATGCGATTGTGATTGATGAAAATGAAAAGGTCCACCTACGTGCAGATCGTGTTGGTAATTTGTACCATGTACGGATGACTCAGAATACCGTGAGTACCGTTGAAAGGGTGAAAAACTCTATAGACACGTGGCACCAACGTCTTGGGCATCTCAATGAACGTGATCTGAAATCCATGGCCAAGAGTGGCCTTGTACATGGCTTGTCGTTAAATGACAATGATAAACTGTCTGAGTGTGAGATTTGTATCAGTGAAAAACTGTCATGCAAACCTTTTCCAAAGTCTAGTGAACGACGTACAAACGATTTACTAGAAATAGTACATAGCGACGTTTGTGGCCCAATGAATACGCAGTCATATGGTGGTAAAAAATATTTCGTCACATTCATTGATGACAAATCTAGATGGTCTGAAGTCTACTTTATGGCGAATAAAAATGAAGTTTTTAGTGCTTTCAAAATGTATAAAGCGTATGCAGAAAATTTAACTGGAAAGAAGATAAAGAATCTTCAGTCTGATAATGGACGAGAGTACGTGAACCATGAATTCGATGATTACCTAAAGAAAGAAGGGATCAGAAGAAGACTGACAGCCCCTTATACGCCCCAGCAAAATGGAATCGCCGAACGGAAAAACCGAACGCTGGTTGAAATGGCACGATGCATGATGCGTCAAGCAGGAAGTCCTCCTGGATTTTGGGCAGAAGCAATTAACACTGCTAATTACGTCAGAAATCGGTGCCCAACTACAGCATTAAATGGTCAGATACCATTTAGTATATGGAAAGGAAAGAAGCCAACTGTAATATACATGCATATATTTGGATCTAAAGCATACTATAAAGATAAAGGAAAACAGAAGGGGAAATTCGAATCAAGGTCACAGTTAGGAATATTTGTGGGTTATGATACTCAATCAAAAGCCTATAGGATACACGACCCAGTATCGAGGAAGATTGTGATAAGTCGTGATGTAAAATTTGTGAATGAGACAGCTTTCAGACATGAATATAAGGAAATACTTGATGAAGAAGAGAATACTAATAACGAGAATATTACAGTAGAATTAGATGAACTTGAAGAAACTAATAGAAAGATGAGTGACGATCGAAAAATATTGAGAATAAAGAGAAATGGAGATAGACACAGAAGGTCAATTGAAAGAGTACAAGAATCGGAAAGCGATAGAAATAAAAGTCAAAGAAAACGAAACTCAACTGTTTCGTGGGAAGCATTAATAGAACCTCCCAAAAGAGGAAGAGGAAGACCTCGCTTACTCCGGACTGGAATGGCGGGTAGACCGCGGAAAATGTACAACTCAGCACAAGAAGATGAAAATGAAACTGAAGAATCAGATAGTGAAATGAGCGCAGCGACAGTAATACTAGACCCGATGACGTGGACTGAAATAGAGAACAGCGACGATTTAAATGCATGGAAAATGGCTCTGGAAGATGAATATTTTGCACAGATTAAAAATAAAACGTGGGAAATCGTACCACGACCTAAACATCGGAAAATTATTGGAAGTCGATTTGTTTTTAAGACCAAGAGCACTGGTAAAAAGATACGTCTTGTCGCAAAAGGATGCTCACAACGACCAGGGGAGGATTTTCACGAAACTTCATCTCCTGTTGTAAGAGCTTCGTCAATAAGGCTCATTGCAGCTTTGTCTGCAGAGTTTGGTCTAGAAATACATCAAATGGATGTAGTAACAGCTTACTTAAACGGATCACTCGATGAAGAAGTCTATATGGAATTACCTGATAAACTAAGCGATGTAATGGAGAGAATACTCGCTAATGAGAAGATTGGATCGCAGAAGAAAATAATAACAGACAAGAATATACTACAGACAGTTAAACAATGGAGTAAAGCTATGGATGAGTGTGAGGACAGTGTGTGTTTGTTGAAAAAGTCTCTGTATGGTTTGCGACAATCTGGATTGCAGTGGTATAAGAAATTAGTGAGAAAGCTGATGGACTGCGGGTTTGAAGCGTTGCAGCAGGACCCATGCATGTTTATGGCGCAGAAGGGTGAGCGAACAATGATAATTGGTGTTTATGTAGATGATATAATACTGGCAACGGATGACGATGTATGGATGCGTGATATAAAGAAAAAATTATCAGATTCCTTTGAAATGAAAGATATGGGTAAGATAAGTAATTGTTTAGGTATTGAATTTAGTCGTGATGATGAAAACAGAGTTTATATGAGTCAAAAGTCGTATGTAAGTAAAATATTAGAGAGATTCAGTATGAGTGAGTGTAAGCCTGCAATTACACCTATAGATGTCAATGTTAAATTAAACAAGCCTGAGTGCGTAAAAAATGACATTATGGAACAATATCCATATCAAAGCTTGGTAGGTGCTTTAATGCATCTTGCTGTTCTAACTAGACCGGATATTGCGTATGCTATTAATTATTTAAGCCAATTTAACACTAAGTATGATATTGAACACTGGAAGGCTCTTAAACGTGTACTTAGGTATCTGAAGGGTACGTCAGATTACGGTTTAGTGTATGAAAGAACAGGTTTACCTTTGTTTGGAGTCGTTGATGCAGACTGGGGTGGAAATACGGTAGATCGTAGATCCTATTCTGGTTTTGCATTTATTTTAGCAGGTGCTCCTGTTAGCTGGGAGGCACGTAAACAACGCACTATTGCCTTGTCGAGCACGGAGGCCGAATATATGGCTCTGTCCGAGGCTACTAAAGAAGCTGTGTACTTACGAGATATTTTGTGTAATGTAGGGACTGATTGTGAATGTGTAATGTTATTTAACGATAACCAGGGTGCCATCAAACTTGCTCAAAGTAAGAACTACCATTCACGAACCAAACATATTGATGTGAGGCATCACTTTATTCGTAATATGTACGAACAAGGTGTAATTAATCTCAAATATTTACCTACTGATCGAATGCCTGCAGATGTTTTGACCAAAGGTTTGAATGGGACAAAGCATCATGAATGTCTACGTAATTTAGGTATGATGGATGAATGTATGTAAAGGCTGGAGATTAAATTTACTCACGACTTCGAGGGGAGGTGTTGGTATAGAACGAAGTGCGTGAGGTTGCCATCTGGCGCATACTAAGTAAAACTTTCTTTTAGATAAGATGTCCACTCAATACTTGTACCGGCTTCACCGTTGATTCTTATTTCCATTATTTAAATATAGTAATATTCGTGCAATACGGCCTTTTTATTCATAACTCTTCACCAATAATAGCTCCAGTAAAGGATTCGGATTCGAAGGATTCTAGACATTTATGTATGACGTCATCCGTTGATTTGTTTTCATCGACTCTATGTGCGTGAGCTGCCATTTGACATGTGTCATGTGTCGTCACATATTCACTACCATTTAACAATACACTAATTGACAAATAGGCCAATTCAATACTTTTATCGAAACGTCAAAAACGATACTGTTCTATGATTTTTTTACAAAATGCCATCTTATGACGTCATCATATTTTCGCGTCTTATAAATAGCACACTTATATCTAAAAAAATGCTGCGAAAATTAAGTTTATCGGCAAATCAATGAATAAAAGTGTAACAGTGTTGCAGGCGTACATAACTATTTTTCAATATTTAATTGGACTGAAAAATGAAAATAATTTTTGACCTGGAAAACTACCCAATTCTAAGATGGAGTTGTGTTCGTATTTATGAAATTAAGAAAAGGTTTTACAATGTCATGTTAGTACAGTTGAAATTCTTTAACAGTCGTCTATTCTATCGCTTATTTAAGTATATCAAATACATCAAGTATTTCTTCATCTCTTTATTTCATCGACGTCTTAGAAGTGTTGAAAATATATCATTGTTTACTCCTCCATGTTTACAATCTCAATTCATATCATCCGAGTATTAAATTAATAGGTTTATGACGTCGAACTCGTGTAACCTTCGATCCAAAAATATGATTCGCATTCTCAATAAATTCGACGACACCCGAAATGAAATTCAACCATGATTCGGTTTATTGGAATTTTGTAATGGAGTGTATTCAACCTCGAGGCTGTTGGTTTTACCGTTAAACCCATTTTGTAAACCTAGCCCCTTCAGTATTCATAGCATTAATTAAAAGTTTTAAATCTCTTTGTGATTTACTTCGTTAAGGTGTAAAGGTACTAATTAGGATTTTCTATTGTGTCATGCTGACGTTGAAAAATATACGTTACCATCAAAAACTTAAGTAAGATAATGGTATAACTTCTATAATGGTTCTAGATTTGAGTTCGCGTATAAAACATTGTATTTTCTGTTTCGATTCTTGTAATTTTAAACTTAAGTCTGTCATATATTTCTTACAAGTCAATGTTTTTTTTTTCAGTAACAACATCCAAAATCGTATAAATAAAGGTAAAAAAAGCATGAGACACTTACCCAAAAGTATTCGACCTTGAATCCAGGTATTCTTCTGTGGCTGGCTCCAACTTGATGTATATAGCCAAAGAAGTTGTCCAGGTCATCTAGACCCTTGATACCTTCATCCAAGGTGTTCATCACATTGTTGGCATGCTCTGCAAGCTCCATAGAGTTGATTTGTTCTTCCTTCGTCCGGCATTGGCGGAATTTTTCAAACATGTTTAGTAGATCTTGGTTTTCCTCGAATAATCTGGGAAAGAAAAGAGGCTCGTCAAAATAGGGTTGAAAAGGTTGTGGGGTCGTGTCTAATCTTGATGGTTGTGGGGTAGTTTCTGGGTAGGAAGCCCTTTAAGATGTTATTATGTTCATTGTGACCCCTATCATGTGGATTTTGGGTAGGGGTTCACTCTACCAATTAGTGAAATGATGAAACAAGAACCCTACATCTTAAGAATACACGATATTACACACATACATAGAAAATCTCCCGCCTGTCTCCCATGAGGGTAGGCAGAGACTATGTAACACCAATAGTTACGATAATGACGATATTATAGCTATGTAATGCCCCAAGTGTTGCAGGCGTACATAGGCTACGGTAACCGCTTACCATCAGGTGGGCCATGTGCTTTTTTGCCACCGTCGTGGTATATAAAAAAAGTACTTATTCAAGTAATCAAGTATTATTTTTTCAAGTAATTAAGTATCAAGTATTTATTCCTACAACAGTATATTAAATTCTGTTATAGATATTTGTTTTTTTTACACATTTTATCAATTAACTACGATATACCTAACATAGATACAAAAATATAACTTATACTGAGCAATATTCTCAAAGAAAAATACAACTTAATATCCTTCTTTAGAATCCTATTTCCACAAATAGCAGAATATTGGTCTGGAATCCAGATTGGAATGAGTGTAACGTTCCATAAAGGCGACTACGTAAGGCTCCATCCTATATTCTTGAAGAGCGGACCGGCTTTAACGTAATCTATTAAAAATAAAGGCTGTACGTGCAATAACCTGGCCGTCCGTGTGCAGATTGCTTTAGGCTTGTTTCATATGAGAAAATAGGATTTTAAAATAGCGAGTTTTACTTAGAATTATAAGATGATGAAAGTATGAGACTTTAGTTGTAGTATGATGCTTTTTAAGGATCTTTAAGTTACTAAACTATTTAGTTATAGCATTTGTTACGCAGGTTGTGAACTTATATGTGTAATCATTTTGGTGTAGATTGTACCATTTTATTGTTTATTAACTAAAATCGCGGGTTACTCACGTGAATATACTGAGAAAAGATCTAGTAGTTTTTTAGTTAATTTAGTATGTCTCACCATATTTTATTGTTTGGTGCCAACTTTAGGATTTTTAAGCAGTAAAACATACACAGGTCTGTTAGTAATTTTGTCATAGATCACATTAATTTGAGGACAGATAAAATATACAATGTTGATAGATAGACCATTGAATAGCGTGGAGATGATGCACAGAATAAGAACTAAAGTCACTTATACCTATGGTATTAAATATCAAGATAATATAACAGGCAGAAATGTATTCAGACATTACTAATAACATATTAACGTATATAAATACTAATACCAATTAGATCAAACAGACCATCAAAGACTCATACGTATGTGTATCTGTGTATCCATATTTATAAGACGCCGTGGTTTTGGACCAAACTTTATGTATATTAATGGTAATTGTTCTTATCTGTGTGAGATGAAGTTATGATTAGAGTCTGTATGAGTTGGATACTATTGTGTAATTGTATGTGTTAGAACTCTGATTAATATAAAGGTAAGTGTTTAATGTTTAAACGCGTGATCTGTATCGACTTCTTTATTATATCGATATTATAAGTGAATTCTTATAGAAGTTCGACTTCTTTTCTCAATAATATTGTTTTATGATAATACTAACATAACATATCACTACATAGTGTAAAACAAAGTCGCTATCCACCGTCTATTTGTCCCTATGTATGTTTAGATCTTTAAAACTACGCAACGGAATTTGAAGCAGCTTTTTTAATAGATAGAGTGATTTTTAAGGAAAGTTTATCTGTATAATACATGCATATTGCACCCATGCGAAGCCGGGTCGGGTCGCTAGATATATTTATAAACTATAATTAAACTTATCTATATATAGGTATAAAATTAATAATAAATAACGTGAATAATAAATGTATGAATTCTAGATGTTTAGCCGAACAAACGACCTAGCCAATTAATTCAAAGAAAACACAATAAAATTTCGGAATATTTTAGTTTAGTAATAGACGCCCTCAGAAAATCACATCTAATACATTGACACGCAACTTTCCATCAAGCAAAGGCATATTTATTCTGCCTCATCATGCGTCTGAAGTACGTTCACGTCACATACAGTCAAATCTACCCTGAATACGAACAGCCATCCAATTTCATTCATAAATCCAAATTGTGTTTGTAAATCCATGTACACACACTTCAACCTATACATAACCAGTATAAACTGGCCGTCTAATATGTAGAAAGATCATATATAGAGAGATCTTGATAAACTGGTCCTGTGTAGCTTGATGTGATGGTATCCGTCATGCCTGAAGAGTTCCCCAATATGTAGGCAGCCTAACCCGATTTTGTTATAGATGCGAGTCACGTCGGCACATCACGAGGGGTGCTCTGGTTCCCTCGGACCCTGCCTACCCAGTGAAGCTTTAAGGTTGGTAACACATAATGTAGGTATAGCCTTACGATGTTCATATTTTCAATCAAATGAGTAAGTAATTGGTTTATTCAGTGATAGATTATGGAGTTTCTTGCTCGTTCTTCTCCATTCGAATCTACGTTTTGGAATGAGCACCTAGCTTCACCTAATTTCACTGACGGACTGACTGACAGCCTATTATTTATTTTGTATTTGTTGACGTTTCAAAAGTACCAAACTATAGTTTAATTGAAATAAATGCTTTGACTTTGACTTGACTTTGACTTTGATAGGACGCGCGATGCATTGTTTTTTCGCTGTGTGGTTAGATTTGGGCAGGTTTTGTTTTAAATTTAGATTGGTTAGTGATTTGTGTTACCTAGGTCATTGTTTATCATTACAAAAAAAAAATGTTACAAATAAATAAATAAATCAATTAGTATGGGAGAGACATGCTTCAACACGAATGGGGCGGTTCGATCTGAGTGATACCGCCACGGCGTCACAGACAACCGACGGGAAACATTACCTGCGTTGTGTTTTGTCGTGTGAATGAGGTTACCGGAGGCTCAATGATCGCCCTCCCCCTCTTCCCCAATCCTTGAATACCTAACAATCCTCAAATTCCTAATCCCCAAAAGGCCGGTAACGCCACTGGTGTTCCTGTTCCGGGTTCCATGGGCGATGTCGAATGCTTACGATCACGTGATCTGTCCGCTCGTTTACCGGCTGATGCCATAAAAAAGTCTCCAATAAGTTAATTACTTATAACGTCTTACTAAAATGGAAACTTTAAAAATACTCACATGAAACAAAAATATATCTCACATAGAACGCCTACGAATATATTCTTGGCAACTCGCAAGAACGAGACTATTATGAAGTTACGTATTTTTTTTTAAAGGGGGGAATATCATCGAATGACTGCTCCCGCCTGGGTGAGGCGGAAGGGAGTGTCAGACTTTTACTGACTAAAAACCACCCCGTTCCTTCTCCTGCGCTTCGAGCCGGAGCCCCGGTAACCAGTTAGGTTCTCCGCGACTCGATGAAGTTACGTATACAAACTGAATTTATATTATATATGAAATAAACTAATGCAAATATCTATCAAGAAAATCTAATCACAGTTAAAACTAATCTTATTAAACATTATAATTGCAATTATAACAAAAACGAATAAAACCCCTTTAAAAACGAAAGCCTTTTCATCTCACAACACAATAAAAATGTGTTTTAATGATGAAGTTTTAAAGATTAAATTAGCTTGATAGGGTGCTGCTGTAACAATGGTTTAGTGGCTATAAAGAATTTTATGGTGGGCTGGACAGAATGTCAGTAAGAAACGACAGAATTTTCATGATATGGAGTTAGTCTAGTTACTTAAGGCTTTATGTTCACATTATTATGAAACATAAAGCCTGTCAATTAGGGCCCGTGACCTAGTTATGACGTCACTTCTAAGTTTTTGAATACGTCGACATATGAAGTTTTTATTGGTATTATAAAAGATTTAATGTTATATATAGAGGAAATTAGCTTTTGGTCTTTATAAAAAGGAACTCATGATATACCTGGTAAACTAAAAAGTGAGAATTACAATGAATATCGCCAATGCTTGGTATGAAAAATTCCTTTAGAAGTCATAAAAAAAATTAAGTGTGGGAGAGCCATGCTTCGGCAAGAATGGGCCGGCTCGACCGTAGTGATACCACGGCCTCACAGAAAACCGACGTGAAGCAACGCTTGCGTTGTGTTTCGTCGTGTGAGTGAGGTTAAATTACCTTCCCCTTCCCCAATCTCCCCAATCCCTGAATCCCCAAAAATCCTCAAACACCAAATCCCCAAAAAGCAGGTGACGCACTTGTAACGCCTCTGGTGTTCCAGGTGTCCATGAACGACGCCGATTGCTTACCATCAGATGATTGATGAAAATTGGTGGCGTTCTCTTGTATTAACCTAGGTATATGCAGTGGCGTGCAGTCCATATAGGCGAAAAGGCATTGCCTACCTATAAATATCGTGAATATATAACATACATATAATGTACAAACGCGTTTATTAAAATTCAATAATATAATAAAAGTTTGTAAAAAAACGGCTAACATAAATACGCGCCTTTGTAAAGTAATGAATGCGCCCCGCACGCACCACGCATGCGCCACTATTCCTTAAATCTTGGTTGGCAGTAGTGACGTCACAAAAGAAATGTACCAAAAGTATGCACCGCGCATGCGTGAAGTTCACGACCATAGTCACGGTACAGAATAACCATTCATAATTATATTACGCGATTCCTGTTGATTGACAAAATGTTTGCAACTAAAAAATTAGAGGACCGTTCGTTCATCACTTGGAAAACGATCGTATTTTATTAAGAATTCTAAATACAATAAAACAACAACAAGTTATTGTATTTTTAAAAACAATTAAATCATAAAAGGATTTAAATTGATAAAATTTGTATGTATATCGTAAAGTACTGATGAATGGAGTACACCAGCGCCATCTATTGAATTTTTTGTTGAAACTTCTGAACTCGTT